TGTAAGTTTTGTACTATGAGCACATCATAGTGTGATGTGCGTGAGGCTGTTTCGGGCCTGGAGAACCACGATCCCTTGACTTTTCAGCGTGAGCCTCTGGCTGTTGGAGGTCACGTACGAGTTCGTAGGAGTCGTGACGCCGTTGAAGATATATCGAGTCAAGCCAACCATTTGTTGTCCACAATAGCTGTCCAAGTACCAGATGTTGTGATTTTTGGCTCTGCAACGTGCGATTAGCACCAGGTATCGAGTGAGGAGCAAGGGGCTTTGATGCTAGTGCATGAAACGATGTTCTGGAGGGCTCTCCCCCCACTATGTTGCGACACTATAGTCGGGGAGGCTCGGCGGGCACTCCACTAGGGGGATTGGACGTTTCCAATCCACTGTTTCGTCACTGTGGTAGTAACCGTCAATAGTCCAAAGGTCATTATTTCCTTCGTCGACTACCTTGTTGATCTACTCGCCTTGAGGAGGCAACATGGGCGTGGGTAGGCGATGGTTGACTTGTTGTGTTAGCGAAGGAATATGGGTGGCCATAAGGGCTTGTTGGACTATTCTAGTGTCTATTGGTCTTAAAATATAGAGTCTGGTGGTCCTGCTTGGGACGGGCGACCGGCCTGGCGTTGCCTAGTTCCACAGGCCTCCTCTGGTAAATTTCCCAGCCAGTGTTGGTGGATGAGTTGATGGGAGGTCGGTAGCTGCTGTTGGGTTGATTGTGGCAGCGTTCCGTGGAGTGCCCAAAAACCTTGCAATTTTTGCAGAAGAAACGACGATTGTGGTATTCTCGGCAGGGTTCCTTCTGTCTCGTGTAGAACACGAGCTTGTCTATGCGCAGGTTTTCTCCTTGTGGAGATTCACATCCTGCTGCTCCGCAAGCAGGGTCAAGCACAGGGCTGCTTTAAAAACGCCCTGTTGGCACAGGAGTAGCTTGCAGGGGCGCCAATTGGGGTGAGTCCAGCGAGAACAATCTTCACGAAGAGTTCTTCAATGATAGTGTCTCCGTGCTTTTGGATCTGATCACGGATGCTTCGGCAGCGGTTGATGTAGGCAATGGCCTTCTCTTCAGAGGTCATACGCACTTCAATTAGCTGACCGAGAAGTCGGCTCGACGACATGGAGTCCATTGGCTGGAAAAGATTGGTTATGTACAGCCAAGAGTCTTGTGCGCGTCTTAAACAAGCGGTTTCCCAACTGCTTCGTAGAAGAGATGTTTCGAAGAAGAAAATTGTAGGCTATTAGTGATTCATTGTAGTTTTGGAACTTAGCTTCTTTGGTGTCGATTGGCGATCCCGGGTAGGAGCTGCCGAAATAGCAGAAAATATGAGCGCTTTGAAGTGGTAACTCAACCTCGAAACGCCATGTGTATGAATTTCGTGCTGGTATGAATTTCCAAGGCAGCGAGGAACTTCTCCTGCGTTGTCTGCATAGCTTCGCCACTTAATCATGTGCTTGCAAAGGGTTGCGTGTTGTTCATGCCAAAGGAGTAATCTCTAGGTGTGTTGATCTTCTCCGAGGAGTTTGGAGAGCGGTGCTCGAGCCGCCGTTCTTGAGAGATTGAAGTCCATCTTCAACAATTCTCATTCATAGGAGCAATTTTTTGAATAGTGCAGTTGAGACGGTAGTAGTTGAAGTCGGATTTGGGGCTGGATTTGCCCATGCTTTGGGATGAGGGCTTCCTTGCCCTCGTGATCCCGAGCCTAAGTCCATTCTTTGGAAGGAGTGAGTTACCGGTGCCACGGTAGTCGAATTTGAATTCGATTATAGGTGGCGATGTCTAGAATCCTGAGTAGCTCTATTCACCATGATGTGATCACAAAAAGGCCTGGATCGTCAGGATAAAACACAGGGTTATAGGGTATCCTTGTGCAGAAGCGTTGTAATTGGCTGATGACCTTGTCAGAGTGGATGTAACCTTGCAATATGATTATATCATAAGAGATGCAGAGTATATATAATGATACAAGAGAATGCAAAGAGTCTAACTTGTCAACATACATATTTGTATATGTTTATAGGCTAGCTAGGAGCATACCATAGAGAGTACAACACTTAGAACAAAACTACCCTGCATGCCCTATTCTAGTCAACTCGTTACCTTGAGATGGTATCACGGTAGACTAGGTCCTCTTCGCCCACCCGCGCTTTCGCCTTAGCCCTAGTCCTAGCCCTAGTCTTAGCTCTAGTCCTAGACTTAGTCCTAGCCTGCAGGCCCCGCTCGTCACGCTGCTCTAGTAGGCCCCGCTCGTCACCCCGCGCTCGTAGGCTCGCCCTCGTCGCTCCGCGCTCGCTGGCCTCCCTCGTAGCCCCGCGCTCGCTGGCCCGCCCTCGTCGCCCCGCGTTCGTAGGCCCGCCCTCTTCGCCCCGCGCTCGCTGGCCCGTCCTCGTAGCCCCACACTCGCTGGCCCGCCCTTGTCACCCCACGCTCGCTGGCCCATGCTCGCTGGCCCACGCTTGCCGGCCCCGCGCTCGCTGGTCCACGCCCGCTGGCCCCGTGCTTGCTGGCCCACGCCCGCTGGCCCCATGCCTGCTGGCCTGCGCTCGCCGGCTCCTCGCTCGCTGGCCCCGTGCGGACCGGCCCCCTAGCTTGCTGGCCCCTCGTTAGCCGGCCCCGAGCTCCCCAGCCCCTTGCTTGCTGGCCCGTAGCTAGCCGGCCCCCCAGCTCGCCAGTCCCCATCTCGCCGGCCCCTTACTAGCTGGCCCCTCTCTAGCCGGCACCTTCCTTGCCGGTCTCCCTCGCGCTGACCCCAATCCCACCGTGCCGCCGTGCCACTGTGGCGCCGTGTCGCTGTGGCGCTGTGCAGCTATGGCGTCGTGCCGCCGTGCCGCTGTGGCACCGTGCCGCCGTGCCGCCGGGACGCCGTGCCGCTGTGTCGTCGAGCCGCCGTGCCGCCGTGCCACCTTGCCGCCATGCTGCCGTGCCGCCATGACGCCGTGCCGCCGTGCAGCCGTGCCGCCGTGTCGCTGGGTCGCCATGCCGCTGTACCGCCGTGCTGCCGTGCCGCCATCAGCCGCTGAGGTCGTGGGATGGCAGACGCTGTGCTCCGCGTGGACGCGGAGGGTCGGGCGATCGGCTTTGAGGCCTGGCTCGTCGACCTTCTCTGTCACTTGACAGGTCAGCGCCAGGACGGGTACTCTCTGTCTGTTCATGTTGATGGTCTGCGTCCCCATCCCGCCACTCCTGCTGCCCTCCCTGATGCCCCCACCCCTGCTGAGCATGATGCGCTTGCTCGTGCTGTCTGGGAGTCGCGCGGCGACGTAGCGCAACTTGCTATTAGTCACGCCCTCCCCTTGTCTGAGTGTCCCCGCTTTACAACAGTAGCGAAAGCCAAGGAATTCTTAGATGCTGTCGTTTCATGCTATTCCATGCCCGCCACAGCCTCTGCTGGCCGCCTGATCCTCCGCATGATGTTTCCTCATCTTGCGTCCTTCCCCACTATCGCCAACCTTGTCACTCACCTCCGCACCCTTGAGACTAGCTACCACACCGCTAGCACTGAGGCCCAGATCACTACATTCCCGCCACCGCTTTGCGCTACCCTGTACCTCATTGCCACATGCCTCCTAGACCACCTTGCCACTGCCCGCGACCACTTCCTTAGTGAGCACCCTGGTGACCTCACCCTTATCGCCTTTGTCACCGCCCTTTCCAAGATAGAGACCCGCCAGCGCACTATCGCTCAGTCTAGCGGTACTGTGGCGGTCCCTATCTTATAGGGCTATGCTCCCTCCCAGTGCACTTAGTGTGACATTTCTGCCGATGTCGCTAAGACAGCCCCTGCCGCTGAGACCGCCGTTGCGGCCTTAGCGCAGCACTGTCAGGATAGGGGCCGCCGCCCCAAGGAGGGGCGTGGCGGAGGGAAGGGTGGTGGGGGTGGTGGGGGTGGTGGAGTTGGGGGCGGGGATGGTGGTTCAGACGAGGGGGCCGGGGCTGGTGCCCCGGAGCAGCAGCAGCAGCAGCCTCATCAATAGCAGTAGCAGCAGCAGCAGCAACAGTCGCAGCAGCAGCCGCAGCAGTGGGGCCGCCTCCTGCCGGGGTGGCCCGGTGCCTCTGGTGGTGGTGGCCGCGGTGTCGGCTCTCGTAGCTTGGCGTCCAGTGGTAGCTTCAGCTCTGTAGATTGCCTGTACCAGCTCCAGACCGGCCCCCTCCGCGGCACTGTGTGTGGCCGTCCTAGCCACACTACCGCCCGTTGCTTCCGCCGCCATGATGGCCTCTTCCGTCTCTGCTTCGGCCATGCGTCGAACCTCCCCGACTGGCCCAGTCTGGTACGGCACCATGTTCTGGTCTTTAAGATGGATATGGATCAGATTTGCTCTGCCTTGTATGCCATTTACGCTGATGACACTAGTGTACACGGATCTTATTCCCATGTGTGGCCTGGTGTAGGTGTGCCACCTGAGTGTAGTGTAGGCTCCCCTGCTGCGTCAGGCGTAGGACTGTCTTTCTTGTTTAGCCTAGGCTCCACGCTAGCCCCTCCGTCGGCTGCCGCCACCGCTTCTCTATCTTTCACGCTCGACTCTGATGCATCTTCCTGCTTCTTCCGCGATCACACTGCGCTCACGCCGCTTGCCACCCCTGCCGCTATCGCGCTAGCTGACCCCTCCTCAGGTCTGGTAGTTGCCCGTAGCTCCACTACACTTCCTTGTCTGGCAGTTCCCTCGGGCTCTCTTACAGACCTGCACATCCCCTCGTTCTCCAGGAACCTAGATGGTGTCAGCTCTCTTCAAGGCCTCGCTGTCGCCACTACGTTCCCTGGACACGAACGGTACACAGGCTGTACCGAGGTCGCCATAGGTGCTCCCCTCACCATGTTCCCTCGGGACCCAGTGTCTGGCCTGTTTACGCTTGACACCATGTCCCCCTTGGTGAGAGCACCTGTTGGTGCAACCCTATGGCTTGCACTCGGCTTGTCGTCCTTGTTTGTGTGTGTGCATGCATGGCATGGAATGATTTGTGAGTCTATGTCATTGCTATCCAGTGCTTGTGTGTGTGTTTGAATGGTGTATCACAATGTGGTTTGTGTCGGTCAAGACATTAGCGAGTTTCTACAACTCGCATGTCAAGTCGTCGTTTGTGTGTCGCATGTGTTTTTTCTATTTTGTCGAGTGTGAAGTGTCCATCGTGTCGCAGGTGTGTGCAGCAAGCCCCCATCAACTCAAGAAGAATTTATCTTGAAGAACCAAGACCAAGAGCTCAAGATTTCAAGCCCAAGGGACGCGGATAAATATTAAATAGTGAAAATAGTAACGCTACTTCGTGTAGTGTTACATTTCACTTGGTGTAGCCCCTTGGAGGGTTTGTTTTGAGACTCTTCGTGGTTGGGGACTCTGTGGTGGTGTACCACCAACCTGGACCTCGGCTCTTGGGGTATGTAGAGGCTGGGAACCATCTCCCTCTCGAATTCTTCTTCCTAAGTTTTTTGTACTCCTAAGACTATAGTGGCTGCTGTACCTCCTGCCAGTCAAACCGCCATAGCGTCGTCAAATCTTCATGGAATTTTATGATTCAACTTGCTGCTGATAGGCGACAACAACACGCTCCAGATCCAATTTACAGATCACCGTTTGAGGCATACATCAGATCGGCATCAATATTTGAAGCTGGCTGACGGAATTCTGACTGTGCACATTTTCTCTCATTTTAGGCACATCTGAGCCTATTGTGATTATAACAAGTGGTATCAGAGCCCCTTGGAGCCTTCTCGACCATGCCTAGACCTGAGGAAGGGGGTGGCAGAGGTGCTGGAGGTAGAGAAGACGCCCAAGCACAAGGTCAACACCAAGATCCACCCATTGCTCCGGTGCAACCTAGCCTTGGACCCTCTAGGGATGAGCCTAGAGTGTTTGGCCTTGACAAGTTCAACGGTGACAACTTTGCTGAGTGGTCCTTCAAGATGGAGAACATCTTTGACCACTATGATCTGCTGGAGGTGATGGAAGGAACGGAGAAGCGCCCCGAGAACGACCCGGAGAAGAGCCCGTGGGTGCGGAAGAGCGCACAAGGCTACCTTCTACTTGGGCAAGCGTTGGGGAGCAGCCAAATCCGTCACATCAAGCCTTTTCAGCGTGAACCAGCAAAGGGACCAAAGGCATGGGCTGCTCTCAAGGGTGTACACGCTCCTGCAACAGCAGCGGTAGCTGTGGTTTTGGAGCGGCAAATGGCAGCACTTCGAATTGACGAAGGCGAACCGGTGGAGGAAGGAGTACAGAAATTCTTCGACTTGTTGACACGGCTCGAAGGAGCTGAGCTAAACTACAGTGACCTTCAAAAGAAGACCAAGCTGCTGGCCCTACTTCCGGACTCACGGTCCTCGCTCATCATCAACCTAAATCGAGATCTGCCCCGTCTCTCACTCGAAGATGTGAAGCGGGAAATCTTACAAGAAGATTTCCGCCGTCGCGAATTGGCGGGTCCCGATGGTGCCGGAGTTGCAAGCATGGGCCGTGGGCACGGCCGTGGAAGAGGCAGAGGGCGAGGAGGAAGATTTGGCAGCAGTAACTTCAATGGAGGCCGTGGTAATGGAGGATATGGCAGCAACAACAACAATGGCTACGGGCGTGGGCGCGGTCGATGTGATGGCGAATGCCATTTTTGTCACAAGACCGGCCACATGTGGAGAGATTGCTTCAGATTGCCTGATGGATGGACCCCTTCTCAAGTCCAAGAGGGCAGAGGAGCAAGGGGAGGAAGAGGCAGAGGTCGTGGAGGCCGTGGTGGCCGTGGAGGCGAAGCGGCAAGCATGAAAGGTGGAGACTACGACAAGGACTCGAGTGAAGATCGATACCCGGGCCAATTCTTCTTTGTCTCCACGCAAGCAGCAGCTGCAGCAGGAGGTGTGGAAGGCTTTGAGGAGCCAGCAACTGTGGGAAAGGTCACCCTTCACTCTCTGGACTTTTGGGTGATCGATAGCGGCGCCACCTACAGCATGACACCTCGTGCGGACTTGCTCACCGAACTCGAACCGTCGCCGGTCAAGCATGTTACATCGGCTTTGGGGCAGCGAGCAGAGGTGAAAGGCATGGGCAAGGCCATGTTCAAGGGTGCTGATGGGAAGATGGTGGGCCTCAAGAACGTGCTTTGGGTGCCCAACCTTGCAGCCAACCTGATTTCCGTTCGGCGTTTGCAAAAGGCCGGCATGGACACATCTTCCAAGGGCTCCAAAACATATACCGCGAGGCTTGGTGAGCGGAAGCTTTGGGACCTTCATGAGGACAGGGACATCTACAATGAGATGTGGCAAATCCCAGTGGTCCCCATGCCTAAGGGGAGGCAAGTGGCAGCAAGCGTCAGCACGAAGAGTGAAGCGGTTGGTGGCGGTGATCACGAAAAACAAAGTGACACCAAGAGTGACTCGAAGGAGTGCAACCTTGGAGAGACCAGCAAGGTGTGTGAACCCAAGGAGAGTGGTGCAGCAGCCAAAGGTGGTGGAAATGAGGAGGAGAAGGCTAAGATCAGCAAAGCAGCAGCGGCGAAGGAGAAAGGAGAGAGCTTGTGGGGCACGATTGCGAGTGCCGCCTTCTCCAACCCGACTTCCGCTACGGGAGAGTGTGATTGGCTGACCTTGCATCGGCGAATGGGGCATGTGGCATTGCCCATTTTGCAGCAGATTGTTAAGCAAGAGATGGTCAGTGGGATACGTGTCAAGGGGGAGCCCAATGAGGTGCTTGGCTGTCCAACATGCATGCAAGCCAAGTTCACCCGCTACCCGTTCCATAGCTCGGAGACAACGGCGAAGGCACCACTTGATGAGGTGGTGATGGATGTGGTGGGCCCCTTGAAGCTTGGAGCTGCTGGAGCAGAGTACTTCCTCACCATTGTGGACGTCTACACTCGCATGACTTGGGTGTATGTGCTGCCCAAGAAGAGTGACGTGGCTGAAACGGTGAAGACCGATTGGTTGCCGATGGTGGAGCGGCAACAAGACCGGCTTGTGAAGGCGATTCGCACTGACCGTGGGGGAGAGTTCCTGAGCAAGGACTTCTCAACTTGGCTGAAGAAGCAGGGCATAAGGCACTCTCTTACCATGCCCTACTCTCCTGCAATGAACGGCATTGCCGAGCGTGCGAATCGGACACTCACGGAGACGGCTCGGGGACTTCTCATTGAAGCCGGTCTACCCAATTACTTTTGGCCGGATGCGGTGCGGCATGCTTGTGTGGCCAAGAACAGAGCCTTGACTCACGTGGGAGAAGAAAAATGGGTGCCCTATGTGGAGTGGATTGGAAGGAAGCCGAAGGTGGATATGCTTCGGGTGTTCGGGTGCATGTGCATGGCACTTGTGCCTAAGAAACTTCGGCACAACAAGCTTGATGCCAAGGCAACATGGGCCGTGCACTTGGGCATGGCTCAAAACAGCAAGGGATGGCTTCTTTGGGACCCATTTACCAAGAAGTTCCTGGTGAGCAGAGATTGCAAGTTCATGGAGAACTTACCGTACAAGGAGTGGAAGGCGGAGAACCAAGCGAAGATTGGTGTGCGGCTTGGAGAGGTGAAGAGTACCGGCTTGGAGCATGTGGAGCTGCCCTTGGAGCTGAGTAGCAGAAGCACAATCACGAGGCAATCTCCCCAAATGAATGGGGATGAGGAGGAGGAGGAGGTGCAGCAAGGTGATGAGCGTGCACCGCCACTTCCGCCTCGTGCTACAAGTGCTCGCGGGAACCGACCGGACATACCGCAAAGCCATGAGAGCATTCAAGTCCCTGCAGCAGAAGAGGAAGGAAGGGGGAGAAGGAGGACTCAGCCCCCCAATAGGTTGAGCTATGAACGGCTTGGAGGACCAACCAACTCAACCTTGACCGGTTCGGCTCTCATGCTAGGCGATGATGCGGAAGATGAAAGCGAGGAGTGCGCTTTTGCCTTCTTCTCTCCGGTGGAGATACCGGGGGAGCCTACAAATCCCAAGGAGGCTTGGGAGGGCCCCAATGGGAAGGAGTGGAAGAAGGCCTCAGATGAAGAAATGGGGAGCATCATCGAGAACGACACCTTCGACTTGGTGAACCTACCTCCGGGGCGTAAGGCGATCTCTTCCAAGTGGCTCTTCAAGCGCAAGACCGACGCCGACGGCAACATCGAGCGCTACAAGAGCAGACTTGTAGCCAAGGGGTATCAGCAGCAAGAGAAGAAGGACTACAATGAAGTGTATGCCCCTGTGGTGAAGGGTACAACCCTTCGAACCCTCTTCGCCGCGGCGGCCATCAAAGGATGGGTGGTGAAGCAAATGGATATAGTAACGGCCTTCCTCAACGGCGTTTTGGAGGAAGAGACCTACATGGAGCAGCCAGAGGGGTACAATGATGGGAGTGGCAGAGTGTGGAAGCTGAAGAAAGCACTCTATGGCCTCAAGCAAGCCCCTAGGCAATGGTACATCAAGCTGCGGGAAGTCTTGGAGGCGATCGGCTTCACTCCCTCAACGGCCGATCAATCGTTGTTCATGCTTGGCGAGGGGGAGCAGAGGAGCTTCATGGTGGTTTATGTGGATGACATCCTCATATTCTCACCCTCCTCTGACCTTGTGAAGGAGGTGATGCTGAAGCTTCAAGACAAGTTCAAGTGCAAGACCCTTGGTGACGTCAACTACTACCTTGGGCTTCACATTGAGCGAGATGTGGAGAAGCGGTGGATGCGAGTGCATCAAAAGAAGTACTTGGAGGCCTTGGCTGCAAACTTTGGGAAGAGTGAAGGTCATGTGGCTACTCCTCTTCCCTCAGGGTTCAAGTGTGTGAAAGGACCAGCGGAGGAAAGTGTTGGTGAAGAGGAGAGGCACCGTTTTCACTCCTTGGTGGGCAGCCTCATGTATGCGGCCGTTCACACAAGGCCGGATGCAGCCTTTGCTACCGGGCAGCTGGCTAGGGTTGTCCAATGCCCTAATGAAGAGCAGGTAGCAGCTGGAGAGAGAGTGGCCAAGTACCTTGGCCAAACAGCAACTGTTGGACTGCAATACTCCGCGGCGGCACAAAGGCGTCAAAAGGGTGCGGATGGAGTCGAACCCGGGAGGCTCTTTCTCACCGCCTTCTCTGATGCATCTTGGGCATCAGAACCTGAGGACATGACAAGTGTGGGAGGCTTCATCTGCTGTGTTGGTGGAGGCCCAACAGCTTGGGAGAGCAAGAAGCAAGTGGACCAAGCATTGAGCTCAGTGGAGTCCGAGTACATGGCACTCTTCCGTGCCATAAGAGAGGTTGTGTGGCAGCGGCGTTTGCTAGCTGAATTGGGGGAGGAGCAGCAAGGACCTACCCCACTCTACTGTGATAGCCAAGGTGCTATTGCATTGGCTAAGAACCCCGTTCTTCATGGCCTTACCAAGCACATGAAGGTGAAGTGGCATTGGGTGAGGAGCATGGTAACCGCGGGTGAAGTGGAGTTGCACTACGTGAAGACGACGGCGCAGCCAGCTGATATGATGACCAAGAGGCTGGTTGAGCAGCAGCATTGGAAGTGTTGCAAGCTTGCTGGGATGGCTCTGAACTAAGGGGAGCAGATTCTAAGGCCAACAATCCGAGGGGGAGTTTGTTGGTGCAACCCTATGGCTTGCACTCGGCTTGTCGTCCTTGTTTGTGTGTGTGCATGCATGGCATGGAATGAATTGTGAGTCTATGTCATTGCTATCCAGTGCTTGTGTGTGTGCTTGAATGGTGTATCACAATGTGGTTTGTGTCGGTCAAGACATTAGCGAGTTTCTACAACTCGCATGTCAAGTCGTCGTTTGTGTGTCGCATGTGTTTTTTCTATTTTGTCGAGTGTGAAGTGTCCATCGTGTCGCAGGTGTGTGCAGCAAGCCCCCATCAACTCAAGAAGAATTTATCTTGAAGAACCAAGACCAAGAGCTCAAGATTTCAAGCCCAAGGGACGCGGATAAATATTAAATAGTGAAAATAGTAACGCTACTTCGTGTAGTGTTACATTTCACTTTGTGTAGCCCCTTGGAGGGTTTGTTTTGAGACTCTTCGTGGTTGGGGACTCTGTGGTGGTGTACCACCAACCTGGACCTCGGCTCTTGGGGTATGTAGAGGCTGGGAACCATCTCCCTCTCGAATTCTTCTTCCTAAGTTTTTTGTACTCCTAAGACTATAGTGGCTGCTGTACCTCCTGCCAGTCAAACCGCCATAGCGTCGTCAAATCTTCATGGAATTTTATGATTCAACTTGCTTCTGATAGGCGACAACAACACGCTCCAGATCCAATTTACAAATCACCGTTTGAGGCATACATCAGATCGGCATCAATATTTGAAGCTGGCTGACGGAATTCTGACTGTGCACATTTTCTCTCATTTTAGGCACATCTGAGCCTATTGTGATTATAACAGCACCTCCCCAGGTGCCGGCGTCTACCCAGGTCCCTGCGGCTTGCTCGTGTTGATCGCTCACTCACCCATTGCTTCTGTGGCACCATCGCTTAGGTCACCCCGTCCTCCCCCGCCTGTGTCACATGTCCCAGCAAGGTCTTGTCCTAGGTCTCACTGTGTCGCTCCCTGCCCTTCCTCCCTCCCCAGCGCAGCCGTGCACGCCCCGCGTCGAGGGTCGGCTGCGCCGTGCTCCTCACTCCTCCTCGCTTCGCCGTGCCACTGCGCCACTCTTGACCCTGCACTTGGACGTCTCAGTCCCAGCCCCCGTCCCCGGGCCGTGTCAAGTGCTTTCTAGTGCTTGTCGATGACTACACACGCTACACCACGCTGTTTCTCGTGGAGCGTAAGGCCGACGTGCATGGCGTCCTTATCCTGCGGGTGGTTGCTGCACGAGTCCACCGCGGCATCCACGTGCTCTGTCTCCACTCTGACATTGGTGGCGAGATTGCCTCCGGTCGGCTTGGCCAGTTCTGTCGTGCGGAGGGCATCACCCACTCGTACACCCTGCCAGACTGCCCGCCGCTGAATTGGGTCGCTGAGCAACGTAACAATTTGGTCATGGAGGTGGCTCGTACCTCTATGATCCATGCGGGTGCATCCCATTTTCTGTGGCCATTCGCTCTTCGCTACGCCACTCACCAGCTTAACATGTGGCCGCACTCTCAGCGGCCGCAGGTTTCATTGACCCTTCTCTGGATTGGGTACCATGGTGACGCGTCTGCGTTCCACGTGTGGAGCTGCCTTGCTGACGTTTGTGCCTCTGGCACGAACAAGCTCACTACCCGCACAGTCCGAGTGGCAGTTTTACCACCTGCCGTCTCACTGCTTCAATTACTTGCGTGACGTCACTTTTGATGATTCTGTCTCCTTCTCCCTCTTCTTTCCCCATCGAGGTCTCCCTGTTTCCCTGCCCTAATTTCTGATTCCCACTCCCCGGTAGCCCCTACTCCTCTCCCTCCCCATCCTGCCCCATCTGGTGTGTCTCACGTCACTTCCCCCGCATCGGTTGTCCCGGCCGAGGAGTCGGTTGACTCTGGTGGCCCCTCGTGCCATTCGCGCCCCCTGTCTCTGCCCCAGTGTCTCCTCCTCCGCCGTCGCTGCAGCAGCAGCCGTCGCCGCCGTCACAGCCGCACCAGCAGCCGCAGTCGCCGCCGCTGCAGCAGCAGTCGCCGCAGGGGTCCTTGAGCTCTGGGGGTGCGGGCGTTGAGCAGGGTGCTAGTCTTGGGGTTACTGTTGTGTCTTCTCCCAGAGGTCCTGGGGGTTGCACAGGTGCTAGGGAGGGTTCTCGTTCTGGGAGTGCTGGTTCTGGGGGTGCTAATTCTATGGTTACTGTCGTGGCTTGTCCCGGCGGTCCTGGGGGTGGCACCGGTGCTAAAGTGGGTTCTCGTTCTGGGGGTGTTGCCATGGAGCATCTTGGAGGTAGCCGTGGTGCAGCTGGTGGTTCTGGTGTCAGCGTGGAGCAGCAGCAGCAGCAGTCGTCGCCGGTGTCCGCCCTTCACCTCCTCGGTCTTCCTTCCCCCGACCGCCTGCCTGCGCCCCCTCCACCGCCGCCTCCCCTGCCTGTCTAAGGCCCTGTGTTTCCTCCACCGGACTCATCTTCGGCTCGTTTCCCCCCTCGTTTTCCTCTTGAACTGACACCTCCGTCCCACTTCTGGTCTTGCCGTCCCTCTTGTGCTCGTCCTGTCTCTCCTGTTTAGCGCCCTCACCCTATGTTGCTTCGTTCCCACACGTCTCGTCCTCCCCTCCTCCCTTTGCCTCCTCCGTCGTCGCTTGTTGTTGCTCCACCTCCTCTATCTAACTTCCTCCATGCTGCTAGCCCTCTTGTTCCTCGAGTCCTCGCCTCCTTCGTTACCAGCCCGTTCGTTTCTGTCTCCAGTATTGATGCTCTTGTCGCTGCCGTTGCTGACTTTGCCTCTACCCAACGCCTTCACTACACCACCGCTCTGGTCTCTGTCCCTGCCCTTCCTCCGTCCGTCGAGGGTGCTGCTGCCCGTGGCAGTGACGTCCTGGAGGATCGGCAGTACGAGCTTGCTTTCCAGTCTGAGGCCGCGCCTTACCTCTGCTCCATGCTTCAGTCCTTGAGGGTGACCCAGACGCCTTCGACATCCCTGCCCCTTGCACTAACGCTGAGGCTACCTCGGGAATTTGGGCCTCCCAGTGGATAGCTGCCATGGACGCGGACATGGCATCTTGGAGATCCATCGGCACCTACGTCGACGTAGTTCCCCCACCTGGGGTGAACATAGTCGATGGTTGATGGCTCTTCAAGGTGAAGCACCCACCTGGAGAGCCGACAATTTTCAAGGCGCGCTACGTTGCGAGAGGCTTCAGTCAGCATGAGGGTGTTGACTTCTTCCATAACTTCGCCCCTACCCCGAAGATGACTACTCTTTGAGCACTGCTACACATAGCACCACAGTATGACTATGAACCGCACTCTCTCGACTTCTCGACAGCGTTTCTTCAGGGCAGTCTGCACAAGCAAGTATACTGGCGCCGCCAGCCAGGCTTCACCGGCACCTTCACCCCGTGAACACAGTGGTTCCTCTGGCGCCCAGTTTACGACCTGCGAAAGGCACCCCGCAATGGCACGACATGCTGCGTGCTACGTTAGCTGATCTGCAATCCTCTGCCGACCCTTCGCTCTTCGTTTGCTCAGGCCGGACTCTGTTCTACATCCTTGTCTACGTAGACCACCTGGTTTTTGCTACTATAGACAGAGATGCATTGGCCTCCGTGAAGGCCGAGCTGCTGAGGAGACCTGCATGGACCTAGGAGAGTTGCGCCGCTACCTTGGCCTGCAGATCTCCATGGACAGAGCAGCGCGCACCATCCATCTCATACAGTCACACTTGGTGCGCTAGGTCCTTCAGAGGTTCGGTCTTCAGTTCACCTCCGCACAGCCCACACCTCTGCCAGTAGACCACAGGCTCTTGGCTCAAGTCCTAGACGAGTCGGTAGACCCTAGTGGCCCGTATGCTGAGCTGGTGGATTGCCTCATGTACCTGATGACTTGCACACTTCCAAATCTTGCATACCCTCTCAGGATCCTGGCTCGCTTTGTGGAAATGGGCTGATACCGACCACAACACTGGTCGGCCGCTAAGAGGGTTTTGCGTTATCTAGCATGTACATCAGGCATGGGGCTAGTGTTAGGAGGACATAGTCCAGTGGTCCTTACAGGACACACAGACGCTTCGTGGGCGAACGACGCGGAGACTCTCTGGTCCTCCCAGGGCTATTGCTTTAGCCTTGGTGCAGGCGCCATCTCGTGAAGGTCCACCCACTCTTTGTCTGTTGCACATGGTTGCTGTGAGGCTTAGATCTACGCTGGTTCCATGGCGGCACATGAGCTCTGCTGTCTGACCTTCTTACTCACAAACTTAGGTGAGCAGCCCAGCTCTGCCCCGGTCCTGTACGCTGACCACAGCGTCATGATCCTTTTGTGTCAGGAGCCTCGACTCAAGGGGAGAGTGAAGCACATCCAGCTGCGTTACTTCCTCCTGCGCGAGCTACAACAGCGCCGCCAGGCCCGCGTAGTACACTTGGCCTCTAGTGCCAACACAGCTGGTATCTTTACTAAGGTGCTTGTGCCTAAAGATCATCAGCGGCACTGTGTATTTCTTGGTCTACTTCTTGTAGCTCCTCACTTGCTAGGGCCTTGATTGTGTACCACTCTTTTATATATATTCTCCTGACGAGCCTCGTGGCTACTGTTCTAGTGGCCGGACTAGTAGTGCCGCCCTGGTTTGCTCTTGTCTTGTTTGTACCCTTGCTGACTGGTCTTCGGACCCTTGCCTCAGAGGCTGGACTAGTAGTGCCACCGTGAACTACATGTCTCTTGCCAGGCACTGCCTCTTGTCTAGGCTGGGGTGTGTGTCAACATAGATATTTGTATATTTTTACAGGCTAGCTAGGAGCAAACCATAGAGAGTACAATACTTAGAACAAAACTACCCTGTATGCCATACTCTAATCAACTCTTTACCTTGAGATAACAATGATGCACTTCTCAGGGGTATATTCCATTGGATTCCAAATCCGCTTCGGGTAACTGTACATGATTCGAGTAATTGCCCGTACTGTAATGCAGGTGTCAGTTATGTTTCCTTGCTGTCGTTTCGGACTCTTGGACTTCTTGTAGTTGAGTGTTCAGTAGGCGCTTTTTCAGTATGAATTATAATATGTCTCAGGGTGTATATTGTCAATTGTTACTTGCAAGAATGTATGCAACATATCCTTATCATAACAACATGTTTAGGGTATGAGCACAAACTCCATGCTGCACTCTGGTTCATGGTAACTTGTATTCTAGAAGTTGAAAGGATTATTACTACAGAAAATCAAATTCCCCTTAGCGAGGACTAGTTTTGAGTGCTCGCCACATATCTGGATCATATTGTCTACGGAGGGGACTAAATCTGCTTGCGCCAAGATATAGTAGTACAATCAATTCCTGCTGTCCAAATCTTACCTCGTCGCGCACGACAGTCTCGCCGTCGATGTGACACTATGGAGTCACTTAATCTGCATTCTTGTGTGCAGATCATGGCCCTTCTTTGTCAGGGCTGAATTTACCGCAAGATCGCCAACCAGTTGGAGATTGAGAAATCTACAGTGCAGTTTTATGCCGCGAGCGCTAGCTCGCACAGTACTCTCGCCAAATTCAGGCTGAATCTGCCGACACCTGGCCGATCTCACAAATCGTCTGACCGTCATACAAGTGCAAGCTCGTTCGAGCAAGCACGCCATGAGCTGCGAATTTTTTTGCAGAAGCTGCTAAATTGCTTGAAATTGACCACGTCATCACTCTTTATCCCTGCAGTGTTAGAAACTCGATGAATGACTCAGGATGCGTGGTGGTACAGCAGCCAAGGAAACCGCGACTCTCTGTGAAAAGTAGACCATGTGGTGGTCACAATAAATATACAAGTACCCAATGTCTGTATTTGAACTGGAATGGGCCATATGAACGTAAGTATTAAGTAAGAATAAATACGTTACCGCATTGCTATCAAAGTTTGAATTGGTGTCAATGGTTTATCATGAGCTGACTGCAGCAGCATAGTTGTTGAGAATCTACTTTGCTTTTGTATTTGTTGTCATTGCTTTCAGTTGTTCATGCTATTGTGTAGACTGCTTTAAAGGTTGTTTGAATTGTTGCAATGGCTGTGAGTACTACAACTCTTCAGGACGTAAATGATTCTTCTTGAAGAATCCCTGTTTCACTAGAGTCTCCTTTGTTATTGCAAACCTGACAAAATATTTAGGGCATATGGTTGGTGTAGAATGGAAACTTTGCTGTGCAATTGGGATGTCTCTTTCAGTAAACATATCGGCAAAGTGAAATGCACATAATGCTTTCTTGGAGAGATTGCATTGCATACGGAGTGTTGTTTTACACTCTTGCCATGCATCTCCAAGTCCAGCAAGGAGGATCGTGATGAGGGGTAGGGTTCATGTGTAAGATCGAGAGGCGAATGGACGGGCCCTGTATCGTAGCATTTTGCAGGACGGACTCGCTCAGACTATCGAGTTCTACCGCCTTTCCCCCTCTGTGATCATTTTCAGCAAGACAATGGCCCCAAGCATAAGTCCCGCCTAGTGCAGGAATGGCTTGGGGAGCAGGAGTATGTGGTGCAGGAGTGGCCCTCGCCCTCCTTGGACCTTAACCCAATTGAGCACCTCTGGGCCCACCTGGAAACTGAGCTGGCGAAGTATGAAAGCCTTCCTCTGGAATGCTGGAGCGTTGGGAGCGGGTCTAGGAAGAGTGGGAGAAGATCTTTACTAAGGTTTGCAAAAGCCTCATTCACAACATGTCTAAGAAGGCCCAGGGTCGGTGGACTAGGTACTAGTTTCTCCAATTTGAAGTTTGCTCTTTGTCTATGGAACACATTGTCAAGATCTACTTTTTGTATACCTTTAAAGTTTGTTTAATCCTTTGTACAAATGTGGATTTTAATGCCCTATAAACACGGACGATGTGCCTTTCCCAAGGTGTATAACCATTAAATATTCAGGCTTAATGTAGAGTGGTCTTAAAGCCTCTCACACCATGAGCTTAGACATCTCTAATTACGCCCGTGCAGTTGTTGTGCCGACTCTTGGAAAAGAGTTGGCGGGCTCCTTACCTTCCATGGTGGCCCTGCAATCAGACAACAGCAGCAGCAATATCACGTTATTCACAACCCTTTCTGACACGCGACTATAGTCATTAGAAAAGTGAATTCCCTTACCATCTTGAAGGTGCAGACCTCGAGAGCCTTCGATGGGAAGGATTTCTTCACTTGGCCCTTCGAATTTGAGTTGTTACTGCAGTCTTCAGGCATTCTACTATGATGGATCCATCAAATACCCTGAAACAGGAATAGAAAAAATTAAAAGGGGGTTACTGTCGGCTCTCGCTAATAATGTACACACTGATAGTGCGGAATCTCTCACCTACAGAGCTGAACAATGTGAGTCCCTTCAAGTCACATTCGCCCCCCGCGTACTACGCCTGGGATATACTTTGCAAGGTACACCAAGCTTAAGGCAGTGTGACACAGAGCAAGTTACTTCAACAACTAAACTTGGTTCAAATGCTTCCTGTAAAAAAAAAAAAAAAAAAAAAAAAAAAAAAAACCGAAGTTACATTATCTCAGAGTAGAAAAGTGACTAGAACAAGGCAGTACAGGAAAGATATAGGGTTGGTGTTGTACCCTCTAAGAACACAACTTCTACATATAAAGCATATGTATAAGTTGACACACCCCCTAGGCTAGATGAGGGGCCTTGCCAAGCAAGAGACACACAGCTCAGGGCGTCGCTACTAGGTTAAACTCTGAGGCAAGGGTCTGAAAACTGGTCAGCAAGAGTACAAACCAAACAAGAGTAACTTAGAAAAGCACAACTAGTCCTGCCACTGAGACAAGAGCCACAAGGCCGATCAAGATTATACAAGGAGTAGTACACAAGTCACAGTCCTAACAAGTGTTTGGCCTGAGCAAACGAAGAGGGACGGGTCACCAGAGGACGGGAAGAACTGCAAGTACGCTAGTGTAGCATGCAGCGTGTCGTGCCACTTACGGGGTGCCTGGCGCAGGCCGTAAACCGGGTGCCGGAGGAACCACTCGGTCCTAGGAGGGAAAGTGCTAGAGAAGCCTAGCAGGCGGCGCAGATTGATCTGCTTGTGGAGACTGCCCTGGAGGAAAGCAGTGGAGAAGTCAAGCGAATGAAGCTCGTAGTCGCGCTATGCTGCTACGTGAAGAGTAGACAAATCAGGGTAGGGGCGAAGGTTTGACAGAAGTCAATGCCCTCTCCGTGACTGAAGCCTCTAGCAATGTAGTGGGCCTTGAACACCAGCGGCTCTTCACGAGGGTGCTTCACCTTGAAGAGCCACCGGCCAGCGACTACATTCGCCCCATGTGGGGGAACTGCGTTGACTTACGTGCCGGTGGATCTCCAAGATGCCATCTTTGCATCCATGGCAACTATCTACTGAGCGGCCCAGGGTCCCAAAGTCGCCTTAGCATAGGTGCAAGGGTTCGGGATGTCAAGAGCGTCTGGGTCACCCTCAGGGACTAGCAACATGGAGCACAGATGGGGAGTGGCCTCGAAAAGCAAAGCTAGCTCGTACTGCCGGTCCTCTAGGACGTCACTACCAAGGGCAGGTGCTCCCTCGACGGACGGAGGATGAGCAAGGTCAGAGACCGAAGCAGTGGCATAGTCAAGGCCGCTGATAAGAGCGGAGAGATTGGAGACACGAATGGACAGGTCGATAACATGAGAGGCGAGGACATGCGGAATCAGAAGACGAGCAGCACGGAGGAAGTCAGAAAGAGGAGGCGAGGAGATAGAGAGGGACAAGTGAGGAGGCGACGGGAGAACAGGAATGGGAGGAGCACGAGACGTGTGAGACCGAAGTCACATAGGGTGGGAATGAGCATGAGAGGGACGAAGAGACCACACGTGTCACAGGATCGAATTGTTATAATCACAATAGGCTTAGATGTGCCTATAATGAGAGATAGAGAGCATAGTCGGATTTCCGTCAGACGGCTTCAAATATTGATAACGATCTGCTGGCTGAGTCAAACTGTGATTTGTAAATTGGATCTGGAGCGCGTTGCTGTCGTCTATCAGCAGCAAGTTGAATCATGAAATTCCATGAAGATTTGACGACGCTATGGCGGTTTGACTGGCAGGAGGTACAGTAGTCTTAGGAGTACAAACTTAGCAAGAAGAGTTCGAGATGGAGATGGTTCCCAGCCTCTACATACCCCAAGAGCCGAGGTCCATGTTGGTGGTACACCACCACAGAGTCCCCAACCATGAAGAGTCTCGAAACCAACCCTCCAAGGGCCTACACCAAGTGAAATGTAACACTACACGAAGTAACGTTACTATTTTCACTATTTAATATTTATCCGCGTCCCTTGGGCTTGAAATCTTGAGCTCTTGGTCTTGGTTCTGCAAGATAAATTCTTCTTGAGTTGATGGGGGCTTGCTGCACACACCTGCGACGCGATGAACACTTCACACTCGACAAAATAGAAAACACATGCGACACACAAACGACGACTTGACATGCGAGTTGTAAAAACTCGCTAATGTCTTGACCGACACAAACCACATTGTGATACACCATTCAAACACACACACAAGGACTGGATAGCAATGACATAGCCTCACAATTCATTCCATGCCATGCATGCACACACACAAACAAGGACGACAAGCCGAGTGCAAGCCATAGGGTTGCACCAACAAACTCCCCCTCGGATTGTTGGCCTTAGAATCTGCTCCCCTTAGTTCAGAGCCATCCCAGCAAGCTTGCAACACTTCCAATGCTGCTGCTCAACCAGCCTCTTGGTCATCATATCAGCAGGCTGCGCCGTCGTCTTCACGTAGTGCAACTCCACTTCACCCGCGGTTACCATGCTCCTCACCCAATGCCACTTCACCTTCATGTGCTTGGTAAGGCCATGAAGAACGGGGTTCTTAGCCAATGCAATAGCACCCTGGCTATCACAGTAGAGTGGGGTAGGTCCTTGCTGCTCCTCCCCCAATTCAGCTAGCAAACGCCGCTGCCACACAACCTCTCTTATGGCACGGAAGATTGCCATGTACTCGGACTCCACCGAGCTCAATGCTTGGTCCACTTGTTTCTTGCTCTCCCAAGCTGTTGGCCCTCCACCAACACAGCAGATGAAGCCTCCCACACTTGTCATGTCCTCTGGTTCTGATGCCCAAGATGCATCAGAGAAGGCGGTGAGAAAGAGCCTCCCGGGTTCGACTCCATCCGCACCCTTTTGACGCCTTCGTGCCGCCGCGGAGTATTGCAGTCCAACAGTTGCTGTTTGGCCAAGGTACTTGGCCACCCTCTCTCCAGCTGCTACCTGCTCTTCATTAGGGCATTGGACAACCCTAGCCAGCTGCCCGGTAGCAAAGGCTGCATCCGGCCTTGTATGAACGGCCGCATACATGAGGCTGCCCACCAAGGAGTGAAAACGGTGCCTCTCCTCTTCACCAACACTTTCCTCCGCTGGTCCTTTCACACACTTGAACCCTGAGGGAAGAGGAGTAGCCACATGACCTTCACTCTTCCCAAAGTTTGCAGCCAAGGCCTCCAAGTACTTCTTTTGATGCACTCGCATCCACCGCTTCTCCACATCTCGCTCAATGTGAAGCCCAAGGTAGTAGTTGACGTCACCAAGGGTCTTGCACTTGAACTTGTCTTGAAGCTTCAGCATCACCTCCTTCACAAGGTCAGAGGAGGGTGAGAATATGAGGATGTCATCCACATAAACCACCATGAAGCTCCTCTGCTCCCCCTCGCCAAGCATGAACAACGATTGATCGGCCGTTGAGGGAGTGAAGCCGATCGCCTCCAAGACTTCCCGCAGCTTGATGTACCATTGCCTAGGGGCTTGCTTGAGGCCATAGAGTGCTTTCTTCAGCTTCCACACTCTGCCACTCCCATCATTGTACCCCTCTGGCTGCTCCATGTAGGTCTCTTCCTCCAAAACGCCGTTGAGGAAGGCCGTTACTATATCCATTTGCTTCACCACCCATCCTTTGATGGCCGCCGCGGCGAAGAGGGTTCGAAGGGTTGTACCCTTCACCACAGGGGCATACACTTCATTGTAGTCCTTCTTCTCTTGCTGCTGATACCCCTTGGCTACAAGTCTGCTCTTGTAGCGCTCGATGTTGCCGTCGGCGTCGGTCTTGCGCTTGAAGAGCCACTTGGAAGAGATCGCCTTACGCCCCGGAGGTAGGTTCACCAAGTCGAAGGTGTCGTTCTCGATGATGCTCCCCATTTCTTCATCTGAGGCCTTCTTCCACTCCTTCCCATTGGGGCCCTCCCAAGCCTCCTTGGGATTTGTAGGCTCCCCCGGTATCTCCACCGGAGAGAAGAAGGCAAAAGCGCACTCCTCGCTTTCATCTTCCGCATCATCGCCTAGCATGAGAGCCGAACCGGTCAAGGTTGAGCTGGCTGGTCCTCCAAGCCGTTCATAGCTCAACCTATTGGGGGGCTGAGTCCTCCTTCTCCCCCTTCCTTCCTCTTCTGCTGCAGGGACTTGAATGCTCTCATGGCTTTGCGGTAAGTCCGGTCGGTTCCCGCGAGCACTTGTAGCACGAGGCGGAAGTGGCGGTGCACGCTCATTACCTTGCTGCACCTCCTCCTCCTCCTCATCCCCATTCATTTGGGGAGATTGCCTCGTGATTGTGCTGCTGCTACTCAGCTCCAAGGGCAGCTCCACATGCTCCAAGCCGGTCCTCTTCACCTCTCCAAGCCGCACACCAATCTTCGCTTGGTTCTCCGCCTTCCACTCCTTGTACGGTAAGTTCTCCATGAACTTGCAATCTCTGCTCACCAGGAACTTCTTGGTAAATGGGTCCCATAGAAGCCATCCCTTGCTGTTTTGGGCCATGCCCAAGTGCACGGCCCATGTTGCCTTGGCATCAAGCTTGTTGTGCCGAAGTTTCTTAGGCACAAGTGCATGCACATGCACCCGAACACCCGAAGCATATCCACCTTCGGCTTCCTTCCAATCCACTCCACATAGGGCACCCATTTGTCTTCTCCCACATGAGTCAAGGCTCTGTTCTTGGCCACACAAGCATGCCGCACCGCATCCGGCCAAAAGTAATTGGGTAGACCGGCTTCAATGAGAAGTCCCCGAGCCGTCTCCGTGAGTGTCCGATTCGCACGCTCGGCGATGCCGTTCATTGCAGGAGAGTAGGGCATGGTAAGAGAGTGCCTTATGCCCTGCTTCTTCAGCCAAGTTGAGAAATCCTTGCTCAGGAACTCTCCCCCACGGTCAGTGCGAATCGCCTTCACAAGTCGGTCTTGTTGCCGCTCCACCATCGGCAACCAATCGGTCTTCACCGTTTCAGCTACGTCACTCTTCTTGGGCAGCACATACACCCAGGTCATGCGAGTGTAGACGTCCACAATGGTGAGGAAGTACTCTGCTCCAGCAGCTCCAAGCTTCAAGGGGCCCACCACATCCATCACCACCTCATCAAGTGGTGCCTTCGCCGTTGTCTCCGAGCTATGGAACGGGTAGCGGGTGAACTTGGCTTGCATGCATGTTGGACAGCCAAGCACCTCATTGGGCTCCCCCTTGACACGTATCCCACTGACCATCTCTTGCTTAACAATCTGCTGCAAAATGGGCAATGCCACATGCCCCATTCGCCGATGCAAGGTCAGCCAATCACACTCTCCCGTAGCGGAAGTCGGGTTGGAGAAAGCGGCACTCGCAATTGTGCCCCACAAGCTCTCTCCTTTCTCCTTCGCCGCTGCTGCTTTGTTGATCTTAGCCTTCTCCTCATCATTTCCACCACCTTTGGCTGCTGCACCATTCTCCTTGGGTTCACACGCCTTGCTGCTCTCTCCAAGGTTGCACTCCTTCGAGTCACTCTTGGTGTCACTTTGCTTTCCGTGATCACCGCCACCAACCGCTTCACGCTTGGTTCTGACGCTTGCTGCCACTTGCCTCTCTTTAGGCATGGGGACCACTGGGATTTGCCACATCTCATTGTAGATGTCCCTGTCCTCATGAAGGTCCCAAAGCTTCCGCTCACCAAGCCTTGCGGTATAGGTTTTGGATCCCTTGGAAGATGTGTCCATGCCGGCCTTTTGCAAACGCCGAACGGAAATCAGGTTGGCTGCTAGGTTGGGCACCAAAAGCACATTCTTGAGGCCCACCATCTTCCCATCAGCACCCTTGAACATGGCCTTGCCCATGCCTTTCACCTCTGCTCGCTGCCCCAAAGCCGATGTAACATGCTTGACCGGCGACGGTTCGAGTTCGGTGAGCAAGTCCGCACGAGGTGTCATGCTGTAGGTGGCGCTGCTATCGATCACCCAAAAGTCCAGAGAGTGAAGGGTGAGCTTTCCCACAGTAGCTGGCTCCTCAAAGCCTTCCACACCTCCTGCTGCAGCTGCCGCTTGCGTGGAGACAAAGAAGAATTGGCCCGGGTATCGATCTTCACTCGAGTCCTTGTCGTAGTCTCCACCTTTCATGCTTGCCGCTTTGCTTCCACGACCACCACGACCTCCACGACCTCTACGTCTTCCTCCCCTTGCTCCTCTGCCCTCTTGGCCTTGAGAAGGGGTCCATCCATCAGGCAATCTGAAGCAATCTCTCCACATGTGGCCGGTCTTGTGGCAAAAGTGGCATTCGCCATCAAATCGACTGCGCCCACGCCCGTAGCCATTGTTGTTGTTGTTGCTGCCATATCCTCCATTACCACGGCCTCCATTGAAGTTACTGCTGCCAAATCTTCCTCCTCGCCCTCTGCCCCTTCCACGGCCGTGCCCACGGCCCATGCTTGCAACTCCGGCACCATCGGGACCCGCCAATTCGCGACGGCGGAAATCTTCTTGTAAGATTTCCCGCTTCACATCTTCGAGTGAGAGACGGGGCAGATCTCGATTAAGGTTGATGATGAGCGAGGACCATGAGTCCGGAAGTAAGGCCAGCAGCTTGGTCTTCTTTTGAAGGTCACTGTAGTTCAGCTCAGCTCCTTCGAGCCGTGTCAACAAGTCGAAGAATTTCTGCACTCCTTCCTCCACCGGTTCGCCTTCGTCAATTCGAAGTGCCGCCATTTGCCGTTCAAAACCACAGCCACCGCCGCTGTTGCAGGAGCATGTACACCCTTGAGAGCAGCCCATGCCTTTGGTCGCTTTGCTGGTTCACGCTGAAAAGGCTTGATGTGACGGAATTGGCTGCTCCCCAACGCTTGCCCAAGTAGAAGGTAGCCTTGTGCGCTCTTCCGCACCCACGGGCTCTTCTCCGGGTCGTTCTCGAGGCGCTTCTCCGTTCCTTCCATCACCTCCAGCAGATCATAGTGGTCAAAGATGTTCTCCATCTTGAAGGACCACTCAGCAAAGTTGTCACCGTTGAACTTGTCAAGGCCAAACACTCAAGGCTCATCCCTAGAGGGTCCAAGGCTAGGTTGCACCGGAGCAACGGGTGGATCTTTGTGTTGACCTTGTGCTTGGGCGTCTTCTCTGCCTCCAACACCTCTGCCACCCCCATCCTCAGGTCTAGGCATGGTCGAGACGGCTCCAAGGGGCTCTGATACCACTTGTTATAATCACAATAGGCTTAGATGTGCCTATAATGAGAGATAGAGCGCACAGTCAGATTTCCGTCAGACGGCTTCAAATATTGATAACGATCTGCTGGCTGAGTCAAACTGTAATCTGTAAGTTGGATCTGGAGCGCGTTGCTGTCGTCTATCAGCAGCAAATTGAATCATGAAATTTCATGAAGATTTGACGACGCTATGGCGGTTTGACTGGCAGGAGGTACAGTAGTCTTAGGAGTACAAACTTAGCAAGAAGAGTTCGAGAGGGAGATGGTTCCCAGCCTCTACATACCCCAAGAGCCGAGGTCCAGGTTGGTGGTACACCACCACAGAGTCCCCAACCATGAAGAGTCTCGAAACCAACCCTCCAAGGGCCTACACCAAGTGAAATGTAACACTACACGAAGTAACGTTACTATTTTCACTCTTTAATATTTATCCGCGTCCCTTGGGCTTGAAATCTTGAGCTCTTGGTCTTGGTTCTGCAAGATAAATTCTTCTTGAGTTGATGGGGGCTTGCTGCACACACCTGCGACACGATGGACACTTGCGACAAAATAGAAACGACAAAATAGAAAAAACACGTGCGACACACAAACGACGACTTGACATGCGAGTTGTAAAAACTCGCTAATGTCTTGACCGACACAAACCACATTGTGATACACCATTCAAACACACATACTAGCACTGGATAGCAATGACATAGACTCACAATTCATTCCATGCCATGCATGCACACACACAAACAAGGACGACAAGCCGAGTGCAAGCCATAGGGTTGCACCAACACGAATGTCTCGAGGAAAGATTGCCCTATCGATCAGTACAAGGCGTTTTTATACTTCCAGAGTACATCAGGTAACCAGGTTTATCCTATCCAAAGGAATCGACCCTTCTAGAAAATAGAATCACCCTGTGTATAGCCACGCGATGCTATTGGCTGTAAGAGATTACGGCAGGATTACGCTAGATAGAGCGCGCCAGTACATCCCAAGCCTGGTCGGTGATATAATTAGAATAGGAGGATAAACCAAAGGATAATGGAAAACGGAGAATAGGAAACCAAATGAGATGAGATAAAAAGAGAAATGAAATAGGAAGGAAATAAGGAAAGGCCAAGTGGTGTAACGGGGTCGTACTCTCACACTTCCCCCCCTCAAAGCTCGTTGGTAGAAGTAACACCCTGCTTGACAAGGTAGTCATGCAGAGGACGACAAGCGTTACCCATGTCGGTCTCAGGTACCCAGCTGTCCTCAGAAGGATCATAACCCTTCCAGCGAATAAGAAGCTCCACGGTGCCATTCCGACGACGGCGGTGTGCAAGCACGGACTCGTCCTCGTACTCAGGTTCATTCTGGACGAGGACGGGCGGCGGCGGCGGCGGTTGGCGTCCGACAAAGATCGTGTTGGGATCCCGATAGGGCTTCAGAAGTTGGACATGGAAGGAGTTGTGAATCTTCCAGATAGCTGGCAGGTGTAAGCGAAAGGTAACAGGAGTAACCTGTGCTTCAACGAGGAAAGGTCCGCAAAAGCGAGGTCGCAGTTTGGGTGAGGTCAGCTGGGTGAAGATAAAGGAAGGCGTCGCGGGCAGTGGCTAGGCGGTGGGGAAGGCGCGTGGCTAGTAAATATAGGGTAGCAACGAGGGGGGGAGGCAGTACATTCAGCTAGGCCTCAGTTCCAGCAGCACGGTAGCTAGTCTCAAGAGTGCACAGGTGGGTGGCAAGTTCAGCGGCAGTGGGGAAGGACGCAAGATCAGAGAAGAGCAGGGGCAGGAGGAGACAGCCAACAGAGGCGGAGGAGGGAGTGGAATAGTGAGCAATGACTGCATCTAGGTACTCCTTCGCAGTCTCTATAGCCCGAAAGTAGGTACGCTCGAACAGGGGGAGAGCATGACTTATTGCAAGCTGCTCAGTGGCATCACGTGACTCCCAGACAGAGTGGGCGAGCTCAGCAGCTGTGAAAGCCTCACGCTCAGCAGACGTGGGGGCGTCATCAAGG